CTTTGATGAAAGAATCGGCCGATAACATTTGATATACGCACATAAATGCATACAAATAAATCCCGGGTCACGGTAGACCTTGAAACAACGGCAATTATGAGGTGGTTCTACGCTCGTCAAAACCTCCGTTCTTCTGATGAGAGGCTTTGCTGCCGGATGTAGTTTATCGTCATACTCAGAGCGATGTTTTCTTACGAGCGGACCAGTCAACTTTGTTCCACTCAAAGTTTCAAAATTTTGACTCTTTATTCTCGCCATTATTTTTTTTCTCTAAATCATTTATGTTTTTTAACGTATTTTTTTTATTTTGTTTCTCAACAGGATTTGATAGGTTCATCTATCGCCCGGTTCACAGTCCTTCACAGGAGTAGAGATTTAAGACTTGTGTCGTGTTTATGATTGGATTTCCGGTTGCTTCTAAAATTTTCTTATTTTCTTTCACTCCCAGTAACCCTTTGCATCTTAGTGGAATTATCGTCTTACTTTGGTTGAAATGATTAAAAAAAAAAGTACCAACAAAAAGGACATTTTTTTAAATGAAGTTGATTAAAACTAAACTCTCCTAATGCCATCTGACTACAAAAAAAGGAACGAGTTTAGGGGCTAACGTAATTAATCTCATGATCAAAAGAACAGTAAAAAATAAACGAAAAGCAACTACTTGCTATGATTAATAACGAGACAAGATTATATTTCTGAAAAGTCTATTCTTAGAACTGTTACAAAATGTTGTAATCATAGAATCAGACGATAACAGTGTAACAAAGGGCGCGGAATAATTTTAGAAACATTTTCTTTTTTCAGGGTAAACAAACTGCCCCACTTTTGAAGAACTGGCAAAATGCAAGCTTCCTACCCCTATAGCGTTCAATTTAGTATTACGTCTTTCTAATCTAAGTTTATTAATATCAATGCATACATGTGACTGGTAGCATGCCACATGGTTGAAAGGTACGCACTTCCCTACAGTTGGTGTTCGTGAACAGATAAAAGAAAGGCATTCTGAATGATGATTTTCAAAGCATTCCTCTCAACCTTCTTAGGAAATTGGCGCAACACAATCACTCTAATTTCCGTCTGAATTTCTGGTATGAGGCGTTGTCATTATTTACACTATCTATATCCAAACTATTGTCGTCATATTTGTTGTTATTATCACCTGATTGGCTTCTATCTGAATTTTTGGGATGAGACTATTGTCCTCATCTTTGTTGATGTTATTACAATGTTTCGGCCATTGTACCTTCCGGCTTTGAAGACGTCCGGAGCGTACAACGGCCGAATATGGCAAGAAAGAAGAGGACAGTCCGAACAGTGTAAATAGTGTAAATAATTACCTCATCTCAGAAATATAGATAGATCATTTTAAATTGTCCAAAATTCACTGATGAAGCATTGTCATTATTATTAATTCTTGATTTCTTTTCATTTTAATTTTGAGGACTTTTTAAAAATGAAATACTCAGGTCGTTTTGACATTCTACTACCGTTAAGAAGCGTGAATCGGAAATCATTAACGTCCGATGAGATTGTGGCAATACAAGTTTTCTACTCCAGTTTATTTTCATTGAGTTTTGTACCATCATAAAAAGAAATCTTACGAGGGGATGCTGAAAAATTCCCGGTTACTTCCTTTTCTAAAATCTGGCCAAATATCAGGAATTGTAACAGAATCGGGTGCTTCGTTGAGCTGAGAACTTTTCAGCAACATTCGTACCTAATTTATTATCAACATAAACTAAATCAAAAAATCAACTTGAGATAAGATATTTCCTGGTTTCCGATAACCGAAAGTCCACAATTTGTATCTTAGAAATGATTAAAGGTATCTTACTGGAATTCTCCGAGGTTTTTATGACACTATTGGACTCTACTTTGAGCAATAAGAATGTATAATTACTCTCAAAGCTTAACGGAAGAATTGTGATGAAATCAATCATAAATGGAAATGACATGTTCATCATTAATTAATTAGAACTAAGAATCAGAAGCTCATGATGGATTGAAATAAAGTTCATATATATATATATATATATATATATATATATATATATATATATATATATATATATAGCTGGAGTCTTAGCTATGAGTAATTAATGATGAACATGTCATTTTCGTTTATGATGGATTTCATCACATTTCTTCTGTTAAGCTTGGAGGGTAATTATACAGTCTTATCGCTCAAAGTAGAGTCCATATATATATATATATATATATATATATATATATATATATATATTATTTCAGGATCATTCTAGATGATCTTCGCTCTCTCTAACCTTCTAACCTTCTAACTTACCTGAGGGAGCCAAGTGACTTCCATCTGATATTCGCATACAATGTAAGAATTAAATACAGGACGATAATTTTAATACTGAATTAGGGGCTTACGGTCACTTCAGGTTGAAACACTGATTCTCGTAAGATCACTAAAGTTAAGCAACGTCAAGCTTAGTCAGTAGATGGGTGACCGCTTGGGAATGGCAGGTGCTGTAAGCTTGGATCTGCCAGTGGTATAATGGGTTGGAATTGTTAATCAGAGTGCCGAGTTCTAATTCCAGTTAGGTTCGTTATATTCATTTTTTGCGCAAATATCCTTTGAAAATGTATGAATCCGCATCTTCTCCCACCAGCTATAGGTTAATTAGTAAAAAATGCATCACTAAATCATTATTATCTGGAAAAAAAATTATTACAATCTAAAAATATTTACTTGCTAATCTGCAAAGGGTTGATAATCCGTAAAAAAAGAATCCATCAATCGATCAAAACCTGAAACGGGTATATACAATATAGAATTACTTACAAGGTTACAATTTTAAATCTAAAATAGAATTAAATATAGGATTAAAATTTCGACTATATAATAGCCACACACAAAAGAAAATTAATTACGGGACTACAATTGTTAACCTTAAAATATATACATAAAAATTCTAGGATTACAATTTAACCTTTATATAGGTACATGCAAAATAGAATTACAGAGTACTATTTTAATCCTAAAATAGGAACATATAAAATAGAATTAATTACTGGACTAAAATTAAAACCCTAATTGTTGTGGAATAGCTGAACACCCCCACAAGATGATATGGTTTTAGACTATTTAAACAGCACTCTCTCTTACTGAGGAGAGGAGATAACGATTGATCGTTACTCTTCTTGTCGACTATCTGCCTCCGGGACTCAGACGAGGCTATGTCTACAGAGTATGGGAAGAGAGACAGCCACCCAACCCCGTGTATGCGGTGTCTACGGAGACGTTTTGCCCGAGCGTACGCGCTCGGAACCCTCCACGTTAAAAACCGGCCTTGCGCCACATCCTGCCTTGTAGCGAGTCCGCCCGGGTAAATAGCGAGGAGTTAACGACTAACTGTTTATTACGTTTGTCTGTTTTCTCAAACATCGACAATGTTATTCTCCGTTATAAATTACTCCTTATTTTCTATGTGTATCAGCCTTTCCGACTAACAGTAATATATAGATTGATACAAAAAAATACGACTAAATCCATGACATGAATTTTATCACTCAACTATGTACAGTCAAAAGATTATTAATTACATGACTAGAATTCTAACCCTAAATAACTAGATATAAAATACGGGATACCCCCAAAGTCCGGACAGATACGAAATCTCATTAACTATATTTTTTGTTATTCCACAGACGGTTATGTCGAAAGAAAGAACTGACTTCTTTTTCTTGGGTATGCTAAAGGAGAAGGTGTACTCAATGAAAATCACAGATGCAACACACTTGATTGAACGCATAAAGAGTGAACGTGCTAAAATTGACGTCGACGTAGAGCTATTGCATCGAGTTAACTTGAATCTTGCAGAGTGCATCAAACTTTGCATCACAAATGATGGAAATCATATTGAAGATGTTAGCTGTTAATATTTCATTTCAATAAAATGGTGAAAATTTAATTTCTTGAAAATATGCATTCTTGCCGATGCGTCGCAGACTTTAGCAACACCCAGTAAAATCAACAACAAACCTAATGTTCTAACCTGAAAATAGGCGCGTACGAAAAAAAAAATAATTACAGGAATAGCATTTTAGCTTGAAACAAGGGATTGGTAGACAATGGAAAATGCACATCGTGATAGTTAAGTGAACAATCGGAGACTTAAAATAGATTATTATTTAATTAAGAAATAACTGTTATTATTAAACGCCAAAAAACTTTATAGACTAAGGAAAAGTAAACAATGCGACGAGATATTAGTTGCAATAATAGCGGACGGGGGCAGATGTAGTTCTGTAGTGCTACTGATGGTGGCAATATATTGAAAAAAAGCCAATATACCTGGTTATTCTCAGTGAGATCAGAGAAAAAAAAAACGGGGTGTCAAAAAGACACAGTATCGGTCATCTTCTTCTATATGCCCCTTGTCCCTTCAAAACGATGTCCTGACGGTTGGGGTTTCACAATACGCCGACTGCACCTTTTCAGAAGGATAAGACCCCCACTTCCAATGAGGCGTCCTGGGTATGGCGATAAACTACATCCGCATTCTGTGTATGACAATAAACAACATCCAGCAGCAAGGCCTCTGATCTGGAGGTTTTTGTGCAGTGTGGAATTGCTGGTGTTAGGTCCACCCTGACCTGAGATGGTAGCACCTGTTAGGGGGTCCCAGCTGTGAGATTATAGTTAACCCTCAAACTTGGTTCAAAACACTATTAAAATGTAAAAACTAGGTTTTAATGCCAGCAACACATTTTTGGGGAAAAATATTAACAGCAAAAAAAAAAAAAAAATCTTTTTGGTATTAAATCACCTATTGTGGTTGATATGCCATAAAACAAACCAAACCAAATCCTTCAAAACGAGGACGGTCATGGCTCTCCACAATTTCCTGCACTTTGTAGCGTTTACTATGGTTTACCTTTTTCTATTTCTCCTAATCCTTGTTCTGCCAACTATCTACACAATTTTGTTAGGTAGGTTTCCCGATGCTTTCTGCAACCCTTCCTGCTTTGTGAGTCAACATTTTCTAACCGAAATTTCCGAGCTGAAATTTCTAGGGTACCCAATTCTTTTTACCCTAGAAATTTCTAGGGTACCCAGTTCTTTTTATATTGGTTACCCTAGAAATTTCAACTTTTTCTGATGCTAAGTATAAGTGTCCTTTTTTGTTTCTATTTCCTCTAGAATTTCGTCATTGCTCACGTGTTCAGTCCATGGTATTCTCAGTATCCTTCTGTAGAGCCCCATCTCCGTTGCCTCTTCTTCATTGGTGAGGAGATTGTCCAGCATTCAGGGCCATATAAGAAAACAGGTTATTTGCACTATTTATATTCGGTCTCTTGTCCTTGCCTTCGTCGTTGTTATCGCCGAACGGCACAGCGCTGAGATAACAACAACAAAGATGAGGATAATAGTTTGAATCTAAAAAGGGTCAATAGCCGTAATTCCTAATCCCAGAAAATCAGGCGGAATAAAATCGGAACGACAACGCTTTAAGGTCTTCTTTTCTTTGTTCCTAACGAAGAGTCAGTGGGCTATAAAAAAAAAAATAAATAAATAAAAAACACCAGCCCATGTGAATAAAAGCGAAGAAAGAAAAGGATAAAAAAAACAAACTACCATAGCGAATGTCGTCGACAAAGCACAAATATAGTCCAAATGGGTACACTTAAAACTGTCTGCGAAATGTTTCGTGTAGGCAGGGGTAGAGAAAGGGGAGGGTGGACTGGATTGCGGGTCTTAGCGAAAAGAATTTGCCCTATATATATTTTTTTTTCTCTCATGTTTGCATAACCTATATTTTAGCTACCCGACGCAACCTTACCCCCTTCCGCCCTCGTTCTCTCCTCCCCCAGCGATAGTATCTGAATTGCTGAGAACTGTGGGTACCGTTTATCAAAGAAGCATCTCAGAGTACAAGAGTTGTTAGCGTAAAGACAGTTCCTCACCTTATTTACTTATTGTCATCATCTGCGACGTGGATGAATTAAAATATTTATCATATTCTTCTGTACCAGAATCGTAAGCTCCAACATGATCAAAACAATGACATCTCATAACAGATATTTTAGAAGACATACATATGTGCAAGTAAAACACATGGCAGAAATACGATATATAAACTCTACATGTCCGACCGATGGTGGGTAACTGAATGACAAAATGTGGGAAATTATGTAACGTGTTTCGTCCTTCAAAACGATACTGCGAGACTAAAATAATGTTGTTATTGATAAAATAGTAAGGATGGAATATCGGTGTGTAATTATATTATATTATATATTTTGTTTATAGTTTCACCACGATCACAACATTATATATAATTCCATCAAAAAGAATATTATCTTAGTCTGATGAAGTCCTTGTGAAGGACAAAACTCGTTACACAGAATATTTTTTCTTTTTTATTCAATTACGCACCCAGTAAACACACACACACACACACACACACACACACACACACACACACACACACACACATATATATATATATATATATATATATATATATATATATATATTAATAAACAATAAAATCCCAAATCACCTCATATGGGGAATAGCCTATTTTGGCAGACGAAAACACCATCGTCTGTCTTATAAACCCACACCGGGGTTGGTGAGACAGGCGACGGTGTTTTTGTTTGCCGAAATTGGCTATTCTCTATATGAGGTGATTTGGGATTTTATTGTTTATTAATTATTTGTAACAATGAATACATTTTTTACTTTTTAGAGATCAATTTTAATCTCTATCTATAAAAGGCAGGGTGTGTGTGTGTGTGTGTGTGTGTGTGTGTGTGTGTGTGTGTGTGTGTAAAGAATGCACGGTCACTATTTTTGACGGATTTGCACCAAAATTTACATGTACATGCTCCAAATTAGCGGGAAGGCCAAGACTGACTTTGCATTTCCCATAGTGGAAATAATCGATTTTTTCATACTTCTACGGCAGTTTTCATTTAGTTTGCGGCCATTTTGTACTGGCCAGAGTGAGAGCCTATAGCTGGCTGCCACAAATAGGCAGGAAGATTCTATTGGCCAGCGTGAGAGCCAACAGCTGACTGACACGAATTTTAACTAGCATGCTAGCATGCAAAAAAAAAAAAAAATCGATAGCCACATTCGTCACAAGTGAGAAAAAATTAAATCTGCATGGCACTGTACTCCAATTGGCTCATTCACTTGCTTAAACTCAACGTCGATTCTGATTCCGCAGAACTGGGTTAGGTGTGAAAAAGTATTTGTTGTTAACATTCTTTTTTCATTCGGTTTTTCCAGTTACGAGTCCTTTTTTAAAGCTGATCGTTTTGTGTTCATTTTGTTTAGTTCTTTTTTCGTAACAGATTTAATGTTTAGTTTTGAGCTTAGAAAAAATTCACAGTGTGAGATAGGAAAGAAGTAAGGCATGTAGCAACATCAGCACGGCAAAGGGCACTCCTTTAAAGCCAAGGAAGGGCAAAAACATTTTAAGTCAAGTGATAGCGATTGCTGTATGAGTCGTACGATTTTTG